AGCGCTTAGAGCTGCTTGTGAGTTTAAGACGCTTCCAATGCACACAACGATTTGCGTGACGCGTATCTTAGAGTTTGAGTTCCGAGTTTGGAGACGCAGCCAATCCCACTTTAATACCTCTGAGAATTCTCATTCATCCACCTCCTCATTTAATAATATAAGTAATGTGTAAAAGTCCATGAGCATCCCTACTACACTGCTCGACGGCGGGCACCGTCTACCGCCATGACCCTTTCATACTGTAGCCAGAAAGTAAGTCTACTATGTCTGCGTTGGGGCGGTGTAATGCAAAAGGCACTTAAACATAATTTGATAGGCTATTAATAACATCTATTCTATCACATATCGAAAAAGAAGTGGGAATGGTAGCGAAGGCTTCCAAGGGAGGGAAATCGGCTAACAAATGAAGGACGTTTTCCTTAGTTTACAAAGACGTAGCAAGCAACCAAAACAAGGTTTAAGGAATCCATTTCCTGCTTGTAGTTAAAAAATACTAACTTGGCGGAGTAACTTACACAGCAAGCCGCCGAACTAGCTTTATCTTCGAAACAATATTAATATGTTCACTTACAAATGGACCGAGCTCAATATACGTCCAGATACTCGGTTTGTTTCGAATTGTCTAATTGATGGATACTCCACTTACTACTGTCCTAGTCTCATCTTCGTTAAATGAGCAAATTAAATAAATTCTTTCTGTTCACTCAAAAAAGAACTTCCCACCTAAAATAAGCATTATATATTCACCATTCACAAACCAGATAACCCATTTGTCGACGATTTTTGTTCTCCGATGGACTATCTAGTGCCTGCTTGTGATGACATAAAAGCATTTCCAGAGTCATTAAATGTAAAATAGAGATCTGTGAATGTAGAATAAGATACTTAGATCTGCACTCACATGTCTAAATACCAATCTAAAGCGCTGATGATGTACATTTGCATCAACCAAAAATTCAACTACTGAAGATACTCGCCAGAATCATCGGATACTAAACTTATAATATCAAAGGCTCGGATATGTTTGAATAAACAAAGATACTGACCGCAAGTTCCAAATTTTCGCAGCCCCCTCTTTCTTAAGGCGCTGCGCACATGACATTATTTATCCGATCCTCGAAACTCACAGCAATATGATTTTCGTGAAAGCCCTCTGGGATGCACGCAGTAGTCTTTATTTTCTCGACATTAATTGACTCTGAAAAGTGAATGCGATGTGAAAATTCTTGGTGAAGCATACAATAAAAATTGTGCACTCACACAAACAGATATACTGGTCTTGCATTTCAAAGAATCACACAATTGTTTCACTGACTCAAATAGCATTGCACAAGAAAAAATATAATAAAAGGGTGTTTTGTGATTTCTATCACCCAGCAAATTTGCAAGGTACAAGGAAGCGAAGAATGCCGAGAAAACAGTTCCACAACAGTTGTTCGTTTGCTACTAGGAAGAGAAATGTTGCAGTGAGAATATCTTTCAAGTTTATAAAAAATCATTGTATTTACAAACATTTCTCATATTTATTAGCCATAACATTCGTTGAGTTTTAGAGTCCCGAAATTTTCCAGTAAAGCAGGCTTGATTATGAAATGCGTGAACGGGAAGGAACCCTATTGCGTAAGGCAATGTGAACAAAAGATCACCTTTCGCATTTACATGAGGCATTATTAAAGAATTTAAATTCATTGAGGCTCAAATTTTCTTTTAATATGTTACGTTGAAGTTACTTCAAAGCGACTAAGAGTGTCGTGTTGCACGTCTATTTCAATTCCTAAAAGGACGAGATGGAAATGCCTCAGCTCGTTTCTGGTTTAAGGTCCATTAGAATATTTTATATAAACCCCGGGAATCCCTAAAGCTTAACCTGCAAGGTGAGTATACTATGATTATTATTTTGGTCTGTGAGATTTCACAGCTTCTGGTAAAGGTGCGTTACGGCTGGCCTGGTAGATTAGATCGAAAATGATCATCATCAATTCGATTCATTTTGTTCACTAGCAATAAAATTACATGTTTTGTGGGAAGTTGATTTATGCCCAAATCAAAAGCTTGGGCAAGTGCCTAGATGCGCACATTTTAGGGACAGCTCTTGTAAAATCTATTTCAAGCGCTTTCCTTTAAACCCTTGAATAGATCACCAAGCAGTTTATGATTACCTAGCCAATCTATGTTGTTTTATGGAAGGTAAGTTGGTTATTAAGAAAGTTGAGTTGGGAAAGTTAACAACTGCATACGCTTAATGAACAGAGAAAATATTTTTGGTCCAAGCTAAGAAGAAACAAAATCAGATTAAGTTTGTCTCCTTTTCCCTATATTAACAAAAGATTATTTCGTGTCAGACAACGGTACAACAGCTGCATGTTATCCGCGTTGTAAAACCGCAACCATAGGCTACATGATTCCCACTTTCATGTTGCAAAAACCAGAGGCCTCGGTGCGTTATAAGCGAAACGTGTTCCATATCATCCAGTGTTAAATGCCATTGGTATGGTGAATTGTTCATGGGAAATAAACACTCGATCGGTAATCCTGACAACTCCTAACCATGTGGATTCTCTTGTCTTCCCGTAAAGAAATATTCCCGACAGTTTTTAGGACCTTTTTACCGAAGTTGAACGTGGCCTTAAGCGAAAGATAAGGTTGATAAGCGGTTTACACGATTGCTAGCATAGCCTGCTGCAATGGTTTGCTTCTACTAATGGAAATATGGAATGCATGCTCTTACTTACATGCATCCATTATAAAGCATAGATACGAGTCAAGCTATCGATATGTAGTCTTCATCTCATGTAATCTTTACCATACCACTCTTCTTCTCCTTTTCCCACTTTCTAACTCGCATTTCATCAAACGTTAGTTAAATCAAGATGCAAAGTTAATGTGATTCCACCCTTTCGATTGACAAACCACCCGAATCCAGTTTTTAAGGTAAAGGAGCTGGTTTCCCGTCAACTTCGATGTAGACTGCTTCCAGTTGATGCGCTTTACCGTAGCAGGACGCATCACACAACAGCTACCTAAAGAGGTGACGACGGTGATGAATCAATGTTGATTTGTTGATGCATACTGTAACAGGTTAAGCAGTGAATGATCAAATGAGGAGTTGAGTCGCTATTTACACTCTAATTCACCTCTGACTTGACAAGAGCACCCATTCATGTCTCAAGGGAATGTTGAAATTACTCGTTCACGCACGCATTGTCTGACTACAAAATTCACAGAATTAGGTGATCAAGTGGGTGACACATAGCTTGACTTAGGAGACAACAAAAACCTTGAAAGAGTGCCAATACGCTTTCACG